CCTGCCTCAGCCTCCCAAGTAGCTGGGACCACAGGCGCCCGCCACAACGCCTGGCTATTTTTTTTGGTTGCAGTTGTCATTGTTGCTTGGTGCCCCGGGCTGGATTCGAACCCGCCACTTTAGGTGTATGTGGCTGGCGCCTTAGCCACTTGAGCCACAGGCGCTGAGCCCAATTCTACTTCAATAAAAATTAACCTGGCCAGACACAGTGTGCTCATGCCTGTAATCCTAGCACTCCGCAAAAACAGGACTGCTATGAGCTCAGGAGTTCGAGACCAGCCTAAGCCAGAGTAAGCCTCCAACTTTACTATAGATAAATAAAAGTAGCCAGGTGTGATTGTGCACACCTGTAGTCCCAACTGTTGGAGAGGCTGAGTCAGGATTGTTTGAGCCAGGAGGTAGAGGCTGCAATGAGCTTGATGATGCCACTGCACTGTAGCTGGGGTGACAGAGTATGAACTCTGTCTCTGAAAACAAAACAAACAAACAAAAAAAGACAAAAAAATTTACCTATTCAGTTTTGCAAAATGAAAAAGTTGGGTCATTCTTTTGTATAACAATGTGGATATACTTAACACTACAGATCTGTACACTTAAAAATGGCTAAGATGGTAAATTTTATGTTGTATCTTTTTTACCACAACTAAAAAAAATGAAAACCAACCTTAAACATCAGTCTTTATCCAGTGCTATCTTTATAATTATGATACAAGTCACATGGGAGTACTTTTGCACTTGTGTTTATTATAATTCTTTTCATGGTGTTAAAGATATTAAAAATGAGCCCAATTTTACTTATCTAATTATCAGTCCCATACTAGTTAAAGTTCCTTAACTAACTTTTAGTTAGTTGCCAATTTGGAAGTTTTCAGTGTTGAATGCCACCCACCCTTATCCCTTCATTCCCTTCTAGGTTTTTATACCCATGACTTCCTAAATATGTCCTCATTATTTCAGCATTACTAAAGGTTAGCTGGATAATTGCTATGGCCTCTGCAGCCTAAACGTCTCATAAGCCAGGATTCTTAGCAACAAGGGAAGGATTAATGGTATTTAAGATTATTTACCTGGTGTTACTAATCATTTCCATGAATTTTTCTAAAAACCCAGCACACATTGGATGGTTATTTAGGAGGTAAATATAATCTTGGTTTACCAAGCACCTTAAGACTCAGAGACAGGAAATGATACTATAATACCTTAAAAACTAGCCTTCTGTAAATAGGTTAAGACTTTTAAATAAGGTATTTAAACTTCTCTATTCTAAAATGTCTTAAAAAGAATAATGGCTAATAATAGACCATTACTTCTAGAAAATTCTTAAAGCTGCTTCTTCGGAATGCAACAGAGTCATATTCAATTCCTTTAAAAAGTACAATTGACTAACTATAGTATTCCTCTCAATTGCTACCAACTTGCCCACTAAAAGTCATTTATACAAATCAAAACTGCAATAAATCAGTCAGTGGAAATAGTCAACAACTTTCACTGGAAAATCTATCTGTTGACATTCTTTTCATATGTTACACAGTCTGAAATATTTCTAAGTATAAAATGTACACGTTAAAATCCCCTCTAACAGAGATTACCTCAAACAAAATTAAAAAAAAAAACACTTTGCTATATTCTAAGGATTGGCATTTCTACTGTCCTCTGCATAAGCACCAGAAGCCCCCTGTATATTTGAGCCTGGACTCTACGTACCTGGTTCTGGTTTAGAAGGGCAGCCATCAGTGGGACTTTCTGACATTATTATTCAGAGATAAAAGATCAAATTAGACGTCTTACAGTAAGTTTTAAATTTTATAAAAAGGATAGGCTTGGAAGGCTCTGTCAGTCTGTCCTCGCAAGAGCGAACAGAGCTTTAAGAATGGACCTTCTGCTGCTATAGCTTCTCCCAAACTCCGAATTGAAGACAAATAGACATATTATCAAGTTTGCTTCTTCAGTAAGTCTAGGGTCTAAGTCTGTCTCTCTCGAGTTACTGGAAGGACAGAGACCTGACTATCTAGGATGTTTCATACTCCGTCCAACTAGTGTCATCTAACCACCAGAAACCAAGAATAGGCTTTGTAAATGGTCAATAGACACAGAGTGTCTATTTTCCCCAGATAGAGTTGAAAGAATATTCAGATTACAAAGGATTTTTGCATTTTCAGGGTTCTGTTGAAATGCATTATTAGCAAAGGGAAGTTGGGCTTACAGTAGAAGACAAATCAAAGGAAATAACAGAACAAGGTTTGTGATTTCACAGAAAGACACGGCATCTAAGGTAATCTGAGCAAAGCGATGGGTCTAGGGTGTCATGAAACAAGGGAATATTCTCCTCCCTTTCGACCCAAAAGAACACTTACAACAGAAAATGGGAAAAGAGAAGGAAATCGCTTCCAAAACGTAGATCCCTGTCAGTAATCAGCACAAAGTGTGCAAAACAGAGTGACAGGAACCTCCTGCCTTACTAAAAGGAAGCCCCCTGCTCCTGAGGAGGGAAGGGGACTCGAGCATTTCCAAGGCTCAATTCCATGGGTATTTCTTTCGGGAGATAATCTCCATTTAAGATTTAGATTTTAAAGAAATTCCACTGTACTTTTAAAGAAATGTTTTGAACAAGGTTTCACCAATTTGGGCAGAATGGGATGCTTTCATGGGACAGATTTCTAGTGAGGACATGTGAGCTCATACTCAGCTGCAGAAGGATGGGAGTTGGAAGAGACTACAAACCCCGACAGCAGCAGGCCAGCTGCATTTTGCCTGTCTTGGAGGAGTTAAGGAGGACAACAGTGAAGTGTAGGTAAGTCAACAAGATTTTTTCAACAGTTTGAAAATTTAGTATGTATTTAAAATACATATATAGGCTCGGTGCCTGTGGCTCAAGTGGCTAAGGCACCAGCCACATACGCCTAAGGTGGCGGGTTCAGATCCAGCCCAGGCCTGCCAAACAACAATGACGGCTGCAACCAAAAAATAGCTGGGCGTTGTGGCGGGCACCTGTGGTCCCAGCTACTTGGGAGGCTGAGGCAGGAGACTCGCTTGAGCCCAGGAGTTGGAGGTTGCTGTGAGATGTAATGCCATGGCACTCTACCCAGGGGGACAGCTTGAGGCTCTGTCTCAAAAAATAAAAATAAAAAAATAAAATACATATATAATAATACTAAATATACAAGAAGAGAAGGATACTGTGACTTTATTTTTTAAAATGTCTGCAGCACTAGCCCTTACAGCTGAACATGGTCAATAAAAAGTCAGCAGAGAGCTGCCCCTGAGTCCAACCCTATTGTCTGAGGCTTCCAAATACTGCTGCAGTTCAAAAGGAACATTTTCACTTCAAATTAAAAGGTCTACTGTGCAAAAAGAAAATGTTCTGGTGTATTCTGATTCGTAATTTTCTCTTCCAAGAATATGTATTCTACCAGAGCCAAGTCCTGCACTGTGATCAGTCAGAGTACCTCTTTAGCACCATCAGCTAAATACTCTCCTAGCACTGAGTCCTCTTATTTCAAATATGAGCAAATCCATTTTAGAAAATAAATGTTATTACTTCTTTAATTCTGGCCTTGAAGTGTACATTTTACATCAGTTTTGGACACAGGTTGAAAAATTATGATTTTGTGCAAGGGCAATACATTCAATGATTAGTAACATATCTTTGCAGAAGATTAGTTTTTAAAAAGGATGTGAATGAAATATGATTAATTAAAAGAAAACAGACTGCAGTGAATTGATAATGCATAACACTAAGCTCTTTGTTTCCTCC